ACCCCTGACCCTCCCCCACACACACCCCTGACCCTCCTCCAACACACCCTGACCCTCCCCCACACGCTCTTGACCCTCCTACTTATGCAATTCACCTCACAGTGATGCTTGGATGCTACATCTGATGTTGGAGGCTGGACTCACACGTCACACTAAGAGGAGCAGGGTCCTCATGGTGAGTGTGCAGGGCAGCCCCCGTGGATGCTGCTGAGAAGACAGAGATTGGGCCAGAAGCACCTTACTCTATGTCTAAGTTCGCATCGTGTGTGGGTGTGTGTCTGTGTCTGTGTGTGTGTGTGTGTGTGTGTCTGTGTCTGTGTCTGTGTGGAAGGGCGGGCAGTGATTCCCATACTGACAGCTGTTTGTTCAATCAATCACCTTGTCGTCAGTTTTGCTGTGAGCTGGGACTGGAAATTGAGTTTGCCTCACATGGGAGAATGGAGCAAATTAATAGACCATTACCCAGGCACTGACCCGGGAAATGAGGGTGAGGCAGTGGGTGAGCTCTGCCTATCTGCCTGCCATCCCCAGCCGCGGGATTAGGGGCCCCAGACCCCCATAGCCACAAACCTCACATTGGGGGAGGGGGGGAGGTCCCTGCCTGCCTGCTTCTACATCTATCCATTATGAGTCCATATGGATTGGTGCAACCTGTTTGCTAAGCTTACACTCTGCATCTATGTGAGAGTGATAAAGCTCAGACAATCTGTGGGAGTGATATGGTGTAGTTGCTGTAAGGCCCTGTGGGAGCCATACGGTGCACCCTCTATGACACTCTGTAGAAGTGATATGGTGTACCCTCTGTGAGAATCTGTGGGAGTGATATGGTGTAGACTCTGTCAGACTCTGTGTAAGTGATGCAGTTTACCATCTGTGAAACTCTGGGAGCGATATGGCATACCCTATGTGAGACTCTGCGAGAGTGATATGGTGTAGGCTCTGTGAGATTCTGCGAGAGTGATGTGGTGTAGGCTCTGTGAGACTCTGCGAGAGTGATATGGTGTAGGCCCTGTGAGACTCTGCGAGAGTGATATGGTGTAGGCCCTGTGAGACTCTGC